TCATATGCAAAAGAGAACCATCGGCCTCTTTTGCTGATTTTGCTGATCGTTAGTGCCTTGATTAACTCCATAGAGGGTCATGTGCCCCATCACCTGACAATCGTTGAGGCCCTGATTCACACCTTTTGCTCACATGGGGCTGAGTCATACTTGCAATAACAGCATTGTAGGAGAGGGACAACAGGACACGAAGGCCTCCACTGCTGTTTAATGATGGAATGGATGGTTTTTCTTCACAAAGATGGCTTCCTTTACTCCTCTCTCAAACCAATGTTCCTCTCTATCAAGGATGAGAACATCTTCATCCCAGAAAGAGTGACTGCTGGCCTGTAGATGAGCGTAAACTGCAGAGTCCTGACCTGACAAAGTAGTCCGTCTGTGCTGGCTCATTCTTTTTATCAGTGGCTGTTTTGTNCTTCTGTGCTGGCCCATTCCTTTGAACAGTGGCTGCTTTGCTTTTCTGATGTATAACTGATCACAGTCCTCCTGGCACTTAACAGCATATACAATAACACTCTGTGCTGGGGAACTGGATCTTTAGGATGAACCAGTCTTTACCGTAATGTGTTTTGGGGTTTGAAAGCCACTGGGACATCATGCTTAGAGAATAAAAGTCTTAGTTTCTCTGACCTCTGGTCTGGGTTTGGGGTCTTCATTTTCACCTGGTGGTTGACTGGAGTCCTGGTTGAGTTTGCATGAGGGTAGTTGATGTGCATGATTATGTACATCCCTATATGAACAGCTCTATGAAACAAAAAGATCATCAAGATCCGATTCCTTCAAAGAACCATTTGTCAGATAAAATTCAATTCAGTTTATTTAAATAGCGCCATGTTACATTAAACATCATCTCAGGGCACCATACACAAGAAAACAATMCTATCTCTAGCCCATTCTCATCTCATACTCCGAGCACGAACTGATGAACAAAATTTTAGTTTGTTGTTGGTTTCCAATGCTGCGGTTGATTTGCAATGCTTCAAGGAAGTTAAAAGCCTTGAATTGCTTACTTCATTTAAATATTTTCAAAAAGGCTGTTCTTTGTTCAGTGTTTTTGTTTTGTGCCATAGAAAGTGCAAAAACATCTTGTAAGTTTGTGGTTTAGCTGATAACTACTGTACCCCAGAAGTGATGTCCATCATAGATAGCAACATGGCTGCTAAAAATCTTTCTCATAAGCAAAGTAAATCTGTAAGGTAGAATAGAAATTTTGTACCTCATTTAAATTTATTTGCTGCTGTTTTTTATGCACTCACAATGTTAAAGAATTAGCACATAAAACTATAAATAAATGCACTTTCTGACCTGCAGTGGATGCATATGGGTATGTCATCGTGAGGCTGATAGCAGCGCATCTCGTGCAGCATGTCCAGAATGGGGGGGATGGTGTCAGGTACACCATGATCCGGCCAGTTGACATAGTGCAGTTGTTTCAAACTACGGCTTGACTGGGGGGGGGGAAAGCTTATATATCAGTCAGCAAACACATCAACCACAGTTTGACACAAATGTGACAATGTGAAAGATGTACTTAAATCAGCACAGCTTCTGTTGGAGATGTTAGATTTAACAGGACATAAATTTTCAATCTCTGTGGATATTTTTTCCAGTTTGTGTTCCAGGTAAATCGTGCTGACATTTTGGCACTTACTTTGCGATACGTCAGCCTTAACGTCCTTGTCAGGTAGTCTCCTTTGTTGTCCTCTGAATCCTGTAAGAAAAAGCCCAGTTTACATTTTAGCTGGTAACTTATTCATGCTTGTTGCATGCCGTGCTGTGACAGTCAGGTGCCACTTAGACAGAGCTTGAAAATTAGAAAACATTCTGGAAAATCGTTGAAAACTGTCAGAGAAGGAAGTGTGACTCCAAGGAGGAGATTACTCACGCAGTGAACTGTAAAAGGTTCGCACACAAAGGTCTCATCTTTTGTCTGTGGCCAGTAAACCTCACACTTTTTCTAAAGAATGAAATCAACAGTCTTAGTTCATGCCCTCGTTTATTGTACGTCTCCCGTTCAGAAACAGTGCAAAAGTTTGTGTAAAATGTTGATCAAAACAAAATGCAATGATTTGCGAATTTCATAAACCCTTAATTCTTAATTTATTCACAATGGAACACAGAACTTGTTTCATAGTCACAGCCTTACTCAAAGAGGCATACACACATAAACAA